GGCATCCTCAAGTATTCGTACTGTCCCTGCTCTACGTTAAACGCGGTATTTTCGATCGACTCTTGAGCTATTTCGATTTGGTCAAACCCACTAGCCAAATCGAGGATCGTGAAATATTGAGCTCTACCTTGTTTGTCTAAGATGTCATTGATATTAGGGAGTGGGTACCGGTCACCAATCGTTGATTTTCCGGTAGTCCACAACTATCCGCCATTTTGTTTTCCGGGTAAAATCTAATTTCTTCGGGACAATCCAAATGGGGGAAGACCGGGGGCTGCAGCTCGGTCTTATTTTATTTTGAATAGAATAGAATAGAACTTTATTTACGGTTATCCATTGCATACATTATAATCACAAATATTATTACAAGATGGGAAAAAATATATACCTATGTAAATATTTAACAAATACAAATAAACATAAATAACAAGAGAATATCCTAATCAGTATGAATCTATCACAGTTATCACTCACAGTTGCTATATATCCTAGATCATTATGAATCTATATCACAGTAATCAAACACAGCTGCTTATAAAGGGGTACTATTAATGGTAATCAATGACTTCTTGAATAACTGAAACGAATTACTGAAAATGTCCAAATGTATACAATTATTATTGTATTTCCTTGGTATCCTTTAGAGAGGGCTATGCATGCCATAATTTGTGGAATGATGGTTAATGTAAAATAGTGCTTTGCTTCTAGTCCTACTGTTTGTACTTAGCTGAATTTCGGATACAAGTTCGGGACAGTCAATGATACCATTCAACAATTTATATAAAAAGAGCAAGTCTGTGTTGAACCTACGTTTTTCTAAAGTTTCCAAACCTGTGCTATTTTGAATGTTGTCATAATCATGATTCCAATTCATTCCCAGTCTGAATGCATAATGCCTGAGGAATTTTCTCTGTATTCCTTCAATTGTCCCGATATCAACACTGTAGTTAGGACACCATATCACAGAAGCATATTCTAAGCCTGACCTAACAAGTGCACAGTATAATAATTTTAAACTATTAACTGACATATCCTTTGTGTTTCTCATAACAAATCCAAGATTTCTATAGCCAATAGTAGCTACTTTCAAAATATGTTGTTTAAAGGTCATTTTATTATCAATCAAAATGCCTAAGTCTTTGATTTCAGCGACGCGAAGCAACGATTCATCTTTTATTTTATAATCAAATGTAAGTGGAGAGTTGGATCTAGAGAATGTTATGCAGAAACACTTGTTGACATTCAGACACAGTGCATTAAGATCAGCCCAATTACAAAAATTTTCAATGTCATTCTGAAGCTCATTGCAATGATTGATATTTGATATTGTTTTGTAGATTTTTACATCGTCAGCAAACACCAAATATTTTGAATTTTGTAACACTTCATTTAAATCATTGACAAACAGGCTGAACAGAATTGGACCACAATGGGAACCTTGAGGGACACCAGAAGAAACCTCAATAGCATTTGAAATGAAGTTATTAATTCTAACACATTGAACTCTTTCAATCAGAAAGCTATTTATCCATGTTAGGGCTTGACTGCCAATTCCAAGTGCTTTCAACTTAGCAATTAATAATGTTTGTTCAACTCTATCAAAAGCTTTTGTAAAATCAGTGTATACACTATCAACCTGAACACGATTTTCAAATGCATTTAAAATATTAGATTGATATATCATCAAATTTGTAACTGTCGATCTTCCCGAGTGGAAGCCATGCTGTTCTGGAATAATGATATGTCTAGAGGACCACTTTAGCTGTACGGAAATGAGTTTATCAAACAATTTGGGTATCTCAGATTGGATTGCAACACCCCGATAATTTGGAATATTTTCTTTATCTCCAGTTTTGTATATTGGTGTTATGAAAGTATTTTTCCAATACTGGGGAATAACGGCAATATTTAAAGATAGGCTGAACAGTATAAAAATAGGTCTGGTTAAAGTGTATACACATTTTTTCAAAATTATACCTGGTATACCATCAGGACCATAAGATAACTTGGGTTTCAGCTGACCTATTGCATTGAAGATATCTAAAATTGATATCGTGAATTTATGAAGTTCCATGGTTCTAGTCAAATTGTAATTTGGTATTTCAGTTTGGGTATCAGAATATACTGATGAGAAGAACTTGGCAAATAACTTAGCAGTATTATTACCATCATTACTAAATTCATTGTTATAATAAGTGTGCATAGGATATTCATTGTTCTTTCTCATATCCTTGATATGTTTCCAAAAATATGAGGGATTTGAGGTTAGGTTGAATTCCAGTCTGTTGATATAATTGCTGTAGCATCCATTGCTAATTAATTTGCATTGATTTCGTAGAGAGGAAAACCTCAAGTAATCACAATGTAAACGAGTCTGTTTATATCTTTTATGAGCAATTTTCTTCTCAATGGTGAGTTTTCTTAGGTCGGCTGAAAACCAACTTGGAAAATTACTAGATCTAAACTTCTTTACAGGAACAAATATGTTGATTGCAGTATATAATATGTTATAAAATATTTCCAGGGCATTATTTACATCAGATACATCAAGAACAGAATCCCAATGGATATTTGCTAAAAAATCATTTAAGCCTATAAAATTTGTGCTTCTGAAATCATGATAATAAATGTCATATTTCAAAGAGTTACATTCATTTTCTGAGATTATTTCAAAGTTATAGGCAATGTGATGATAACTTTCGGATACTAACAAATCATCTGACTGAGTGATAATTATTTCCTGAACATGTGTGAAACATAAATCCGAAAACACACCCCTATCATTAGGTATTAAATTCACTTGACACATATTTAAAAAACTAAAACATTCATGTAAAATATAAGCTGTTGAATTGTGAGGATAATCAGCAATGAATGATGCTTCATCCCTGGACCAAACTGCTTCTGGAATGTTATAGTCACCCCAAATACAAAAACGATGTCCTGGGTAGGACGCACATAAATTTTCCACAACATGAGAGTGTTCAGAGTATACATTAACATCTGATCCTGGTGGAATATAAACGGCACCAACTATATATTTTATTTTTCCAATATTTAAAGAGACAAACAAATGCTCTACCTGATCATCATCTGAATTTCTCACCAATCTAGTAGATAGCTCCTTTCTAGTTATAATCATAACACCACCACCTCTACCCTTGATAATGGATCGACGATCCTTTCGATATATATTATAGTTATGAAGTTTCAGCTCACTGGATGAAAAATATTCATTTAACCAAGTTTCTACCAAAATAATGATATCATATGAACATGATTCAATGGCTAGTTTGAGTTCTTTCAGCTTTGTTCTGATGCCACCCACATTGTGGTAGTAGCAATTTAGTTTTTTGATGCATTAGCATAATCTCTATTAGCATTCTTGTATTCCACCACCATAGGAACACCCTTCACATATTTGATTGTAATATTTGATTCACCCTTACTCTTCCGATCAGCAAGCTCCACACGGGCAGCTTTCAACTGCTCTCTTTGAATCATAGTCAAATCAGCACCTACTTGATAGTTGATATTATCAGCCAAGTTTCTACGTCTTTTTAAACACATAGCAGGGATATCAGGATCATTGAAACTAATTTTCATTGGCCTGGGATTGTTACTAGGGCGCCCTAGGCGTACTGTTTTATAATTTCCTGCTTCAATTTCCATTGCATTCAACAAATCAACCACAATTTTTTTATCATGGTCGATCCTTGCCTTGATATCTCTGTCTTGGTTTTCAGGTACATTATAGAGCATGATATTTTTAGACCTTTGCATTCTATCATATATCTCACTATAAATATCACTAGTGTTATTCCCTGAATCTGAGGATTCCTGGCACTGTTTCATTTCAGTAATTTCCTTTCTCAATATTTTAATATCATTTTCTAATTTTGAGACCTGGTCATTTCTTTTCGTGTGAAAATTTTTCATTAACAATTCCTCAACCTGTGTCTGAATTAAGGCGCCGACACCGTCCACTGAGACAGAATCAGATTGTTTACCTTTCCTGATTGACGGCAAAAAGTTATCTTTGGATTGGATAACCTCTTCATTCTTGCAGGTGGAACATATCCAATTATTCTTACCAGATCTTGTATATTGGGTATATATTTTATTGAATTCGCTTGTGGCGAGGCCCGAACATGATTTGTGATACCAGGAATTACACGAATTACACTCTAAACTACTAGAATTCTCGTTTATTGCAGAGTCACATTTCGGACATGTATACTTGCCCGCCATCTTGTGTATGTATTTTGTTCAAGCATGTCGTTAATTTGACGTTGTAATTCCTCTTTATGTATATAGGGGTACCTAAACGATTTCGTGTGGAGAGGTATTTCGTCAACAATCTTGATTTCGTGTTTGATTTTGGAGGTAAAAGTCAAATCGTCACCGGATTAGAAGAACATTTCGGAAAATTCGTTACAGATCTTGACTATTGCAGGTTATTTTGAACGAGAGAGTATCAGCTACAGTTGAAGAAAACAAGATATTGCATTTTTGTAATCCTATCAGTCAATACTAGATGGTTGGCACCTCTATGGCAGTCGGTACCAACTGTAATGTCGTGAAGATGACTTCGTGTATCATTTAGTATTTAAATATATCTGTTTCATTTTACTCCTGAAACAAATTTTCCCATATCGGTTTCTCTCTCTCTCTCTGAAAAGATAAATATGACTAACTGGCCCCAAATATTATAGACAAAATTCAGGGCTTTTTCAGTCACATTTTATATACAGCTTTTTGTCCCGTCATAGTATTTTATTTTTGAATTTTCTTGTAAGTGGCTGTATGCCATATGTCAAAATCGATTGTTAGGTATTTAGACATGCACAATTGATCACATACTAACTTTTTCCTATGAGTTACGTACTCAAATTTCCGATTGCCATAAAAATATGAAAAATCAAAGTTCTATAATCAAACGGAGTTTAATTTCCTCCCAAATCGGATATTAGAAATACCTGACCGAAAACTATTTTCAGGAGTTCGGGAGCTTTTCGAACAAGAGCCTCCACCACCCCCGAGGAAGACGAGAGCAGATATGATGAAAGACATCGATGCCGACTATTATGGGTACATGGACGATGATGATGGCATCCTTATTCCACTGGAAATGAAAGCTGAAAAATTAGGTACTCATCAGTCATTTGGCAAATGCAACACCTACTTGCAAAATACGGGGCTATTGGTAATCCGATACATTCCTTTGGTGATGTGATAGGGGAGGTGGTAGGGAGTGAATTTAACCCTAATTTGGATTATGCAAAAGTTGATAGTTTTTGAGATATTCAACTTTTGCTGATTATCTCCAAATGGTAGACTTCCAGGGTTTGAAAGTTTGTTTTCCGATAATCTGCTGTACATTTTTTCAACCTTTCAACTAGAATACATGATCAACACTATGGTCTCATGTTCACACACAAAGTGTTGAAATTCTCAATCAACAAACAAAAATACGACTTTGTATCTACAATTTATCTTTGATCTAAATTATTTCTGTAATTTTGTCATTCCGAACATAAACCATAGTGTTGATCATATATTCTATGTAGTTGGATGTTCGAAAAAATGTAGAGCAGATTTTCGGGAAACTAACTTTTAAACCCTTGAATTGTACCTCTTGGAGAAAAACAAAAAAAAATGGAAAAAGAATGGAAATTGAGTTTATGAGTATGTCATACTAAGAGAGTCGTAAAGGGATGTTTTTTGGGAATCAGAATAGGATGCTTGGCCTCATCGCTAATGTTTGCAAATGCCACCTACTCTGAATATGCCATCGGCGTCTAGATAGGGGTTTAGGGACTTCAGGTCACTATTGAATCTTATTGACTTTGCAGAGGCTAAGCTCTTTCAATCAGCAACACACCTATTTTGAACTAGCTTAACTTGGACAATTTGTATCTCAGTTAGTGAAAGATTTTGATGAAGAAACTTAAATTGGATTTTGAGTAAGTTAATATGAGAATAATCAAGGTTGTACTTCTCTATTCAAAAATCCAGGAAACAATCGTAGAGTTATGTATATAGATTAAAAATTCAATTTTGTGTATCATAACTTGAAAAAGAAACATATTATATTTAAATATGCAGGTACATTTTTGCAACAAGCAGATATTTCAAAATGGTTTAGCAAATGATTTTTTGCTGAGTTTTGAAGATTATTTTGTTCTTGAAGATTTTAGGTAGAAGGGGTATGGAGTATATAGCAAAACCTTCATGTCCTGCTGGTAGTTTAGTTTAGAACTAGTGTAAGTTGTTCTGTGAACACTTCAGTCACATGTAATTTACGTCATGTCAAATTTGTCGATTATATAATGTCAGAAGTGTAAATTTCGTGTATGTCAAAGAGAGATTTTTGTTGCTAAGATGATGTCGAAGTGGTTTCATTAAAATCAATATTAAAATGAAGATACATTATTTTATTACAAAATAGTACCTATAATTATCCAAACTTCAAGTGTTAGTCAAACTAAAAAGAAGTAGAAAATGAAATAATTAAAGAGTGTTGAATATTTAAATAAAAAAATATTAGAAATAATTTATATCTGTATAGCAGAACAACGTTTGCCGAGTCCGCTAGTGAGTAACATAAATGGAATTGAACATTCAATCCTATATTTTCAACTTTTTGTGTGCCTTATAGATAAGCCATCTTTAAGACATGAGAAATGCAAAGTTTTCATATTTCTGAAATACAAATTATACACAAAAATACTACATCAGTAGATCTGAGAAATCATTCTACACCCTTCATATATTACCTGATCAATATTAATACCTAGCAAAAATGACAAATACAGTGTGCCCCACTTACCATGCTCACCATGGGTATCTTTTTAACGGTGAGAGATACGAGATACTACTAGTGGGTGTTTTTGAGGTCGGGGATCATATTTTTTTTGTTAAATTTTATAAATTCAAGATGGCGGCTTCCAAATTTTTTTGGTTTTTGTATAAATGACGATAACTCCGTTATCAACACAAAGCTATTACTGCGACATATCATCTGTGAGAGAAAAAAAAGTTATTTGTAACTAGGCCATAGTGAGTTATGACCAACATTTGAAAAACTGAAGTTGATGCTGAAATCTCAAATTCTAGAAGAGTTGGTATAAATTTCATATTTTTTCGAAATCACTTTGAAAAACTGCCATGAGAATGTGAAATTCCTATTTGAATATTTTCATAAATAAAGAAGTTACGGAGGAGACATGAAAATGATCAAAATCTGTTTTTTGCGTATAATACAAAAACGAATAGATTTTATCAAAATATTTTTTCACATTATAGTTGGCCTTGACAAACTCCACCAGGGGCGGATGGGACATGGTAAACCGGCCCGGGAAAACAAGCACTGGCGGCCTGGCCTATAGATACCTTATCTCAATAAAAAAAATGTTTTTATATAATAATCTATTTTTTTGTTAGATAAACCTATGGGTCTTTATGAGGGAAAAAAAAAAGAAAAAATGTGCTTCGCTTCAAGCATTTAATATGAAACAGTAGGAAACATTGTGTATAAAACTAAAGAAATAAACTCTACACAGTTATACGAAACAAGCACCAAGTAACAAAAGACAAATGATAACATCGAGGAACTTAAATAAAAGGAAAGGAACTAAACATTTGGCATACATTGCAAAATAAGAAAACAACGGAAAATCTAAAACCTAATGAATCCAATCCAAATTATATTTTATAAAAAATAGTGCAAATTAATAAGGATTTAACGAAAAAGTAATCTTTTCATTAAAGCGCTCTGTCCAGCTAAAGCATTGATAACTTCTTCATTGTCAACCTGGTTCAACACAGTACGTTCAATATTCATTAACATGAATGACTCAAGTCTATTATCAGATAAGGAATTTCTTAAGCGAGTTTTTATAAATTCAAGAATAGAGAATGACCTTTCACATTGTACTTGAGATATGGGAAGCGTTAAAAGGTAGTGATATGCAGTAAATAGCGAAGAATAGGCCCCCTGAAACATATTATATTTTGTAATAACAGAATAGCAGCATATAGCACAATTTTTACAAGCAGCCGATTCTTTGGAATTGGGGACACTATCAGATTCTTCTTCAACGTCAATCTCTATGTCCTCAATATCTGACCTCTCTGATATTATATAAGTATCTTCGATGGTCAATTTGAATCTGTTCCAGTTTTTTGCAAAGTTGAGAAGTTCTTCTCTTAAATTTTCAGGAGTAGCAGACGAATTATATTTGATGATTTTCACAGAAAGTCTTTCCATACAAGCTGAAAGCGATTCAAGAGAGTCATTGCATGCAATTTGTTCGAAGTTTTTTGGGTCTAAAGCAGCTAAATCCCTACATAAATCCATATTTTTTGAAAACCTTGTCTCCATCGAGTTCAATGCAGTGTCCATCAAGATATTGAAGGTATTCACTCTGAACTTGTCTACTTCCGTATTTGGTTGTTCATCGATAGTTGCCTCATCAAAAAAAGTCTTAACCCTTCTACGACGAACTTCTTGAAAGTTCTCCTCAATTGTTGCATCTATTCCTTTTGAAATTAGTTCTGCTTTAGCCCATGTTATAAATTTTTCCGTAGCTTCACTAATACTATTTAAGTCTCTTTGGAATGAACGTAGATCATTTATAGCTGTTTCAATCATACCGTTATAATTGAGCAGATCTAAACCTTTAGTTTGCAAATACCTTGAAACAGGACCGGTAATACTGAATATTTTTAAAAATATCGAAGATGATTCATTTTTGACTTGGACCGAACCGGCCCGAAAGCAACCGGCCCTTCGGGAAATTTCCCGAGTGCCCAGCCGGCCCATCCGCCCCTGAACTCCACATTTGGGTCATTTAACCGACCTCGTATCTCTCACCGTTAAAAAGATAGCATGGTAAGTGGGACACACTGTATAATCAAACCATAATATGACTACACACCTGCTTGAAATAAAACAATTGTAATAATCAAAATCACTTTTGCGATCTTTGCATTCGGCACAAAACAAAATAACAAAAAAAAAAGAAGTGAAACTGAATAACGATCAACTCAGAATGGCGAATAGCTTCTTCTAGTTTTGGTTGTTTCTGGTCCATCTATCTGTCTCCACCTCGATACTCTCGAATCTCTCGACTCGATCCAATCATTTCTCTTCTCCTAGTGTCTTCGTTGTTTGCTGTCGTCAAGTTCTTGTCCGCTTTCGAAGTTCGTGCTCAGCATTCAAACTGTTCTCGATTCTATTGAATTCTTGCACTTTGTGCTTTTAGATTTCATGTGCGAACAAGGATATAAAGCGGAAAATCACACCATTGCGATGATTACATTGTATATATTCAATGGAAGTTCAGTGGATATAGAACTATCAAATATATATTTTTGTGTGCTGTCCAACCGTATTTTAGTTCCTTGCACTCGAACAATCATGGAATTTTCATGGATTGAATATTGATTTGTTCACATTATCATTATCAAATTCGTGTTCTCGATTATATGATGCAAAATTATCGGAAATAATTTTTGTGAAACACATTACTCAATACGTAGAGCTCTATTCCTGATACAGTCGATATTTCGATTTGTTTTTACCTGTACATGTTGATGATTCAGAAACGAGGATAGAGAAAAATTGTGAATACGTCATAAATTAGCTATCAACCTTAAATAACATGCGCATAGTACAACAATATTTTTTATATTATTCCAGCTTGTCAAGATGCCATACAAGAATGGAAAGAAAAGAAAGAAATGAGAACGACTAACCAAATAGAAGATGAACAGGAAGCAGACGAAGAAAATATTTATGATGTTGCCGAGGTATGTCTTTCGACCTATATCAAAAAGTATGAATTATACAAATTGACACGAAATTAATACTCAATTATTACGATTTTATTATTATGAATTTTACCACTGCTCATGGATAAATAGTAAAGAATACAATAGGCCCTCGAAAATTTCAATATCAATACTATTGAGACAAAGAACGGAATTCAGCCGCCGCACATTCCAAGAATGCAAGAGGCTGCTATTCCATTAGATACAAAAAATAACAAAAAAAGCATCTGTCAAATTGGATGCGCGCTCGTAAAAAGTAGGTCACATCATTCTCTTTGTCCTGCTCTTTTCAGATATTGAAACAGATCTAGAAAATTCTGAAATAAAGTGTTGTTCTCGAAATAATAGTAATTTTCCTAACAAGTACGGCAAGTGATATTTTCCGCATGAGTTAGGAACAATATTTTCACTTCGAGGGTAGAAAATTAATCGATTTATTCAATTGATTATTAATGGAAATACGAACAACTAACAAGAGTCATAACTCTCTATCTACTGAATATTAGTGATAGCTATTGTTAATGTACAGTTTGACGCATTACCAGCATCATGCCCATAAGGATTTTGTGTTTTGATTTTTTTATTGTTAAATCATTCAATAAAACGCGTGTATTGCTTCTCATACCTTTCTCAACACTTCGTTGGCAATATCGCATCGTTAGCGGGAGTTTTTGAGCACATTGAGGCAATTTCACTCAATCGAAATTGACCAAAATGCTGTGTCTGTCAATACTAATTTGTGGTTTCATTGTCATGAGAACAATAACTGTTTTCCACATCAGATCAATCCAAGTCTGTAGGGGGATTTTTATAACAATCAATTTGTATTCATCAATATTTCTCCATTTTCCCAATAAATGGTGCAATTTGATGGATGATTCTGAACAAACATACTTAATGCTGCAACAAGCAAACCTTAACTTGAATATTCCATCACGAACCACTTATATTTTGCGATAAAATCACATTGTTTTGCCGCACTATTGTGGGAAAAAAATTCCGCACGAGTGTGGGAAAAAAATCCCGCACGAATGGGGTGATTCACGCACGCTTGTAGAAAAAAAAAGTCGACTGTTTTTCCTAAAGACAGACATGTATTCCGATCTCTATTCAGTTTCATGGGTAATTTGAGGGATATACATCTACCGAGTATGAATAGATTATAGGAAGTGGTTTAGAAATTATGGCCAGTTAAAGAAAATATATTTTCAAAATCAAGATAACGTCATGTATCTCAGTTAAAGTCTAGAGATTTCAAAAAAACACTATTTCTAGATTAATACCATTAAGGTAATATTTTTTTATGTATGTTCAGCTCAATAATTGCATGCAGCGAACAATATGAGAATTGATAATTGTTTTCATCTTTGATTATAAAACAGAGGTTTCCTTTTTGAACAAAATATTGATTTTAAATGAAAAAATACTAGTAGAAAACATCAAGAAAATTTGTAGTTGTAGTCCTGATGTGAATGCCATAATTTCAATATGCAGCCTCCTCTCTTCACACTCTAGAAGACAAAAAGTAATCATATCGTTGATAGACAGATGTCAATCATTTATGAATTGAAGTACATGAAATACATCCAGGTGTGTAAATGTGACATCTTGAGAGATATTGCTATCTTCCAAGATCATGGCATCTTTTGAAACACCGAAACCATTGATGCATCTCAGTTCTTGCCCGTAAAAATTGTCAGTTGGAATGTGCACGTTAGGAAATGGTATAGTGTGATGTTATTTCTTCAATTTAACGATTCTTCCTCATTATGTTGAATCGTGTTACAACATTTTCGCATCCAATCATCTGCGATTAATATTGTGTATTGATTTTGAAGAAGTTTCCTTAGCTGAGTTGATATTGAATAGCTAACCTGAATTGAAAACTCCAAAATATATCATGTGTCACATTTGAACTGTCAATAATAAATTGATTGTCTAATGTGAATTGATAGATTCTAATTTGTTACTATACATATGTTTTCACACTATACGTATATATATTGAAAATCTTTTGAATCCATGAATAAACCCTATACATTTATATTCTTCAACCCATAAATTTACATTTATCAACAAAATGTCAATTATTTTTGTTTCCAAAATCGTTAAAAAATGAAATGAGTATTTTCATTCTTGAATTTGACGTAGAAAATTCATCTATTTCATCCGTGTATATTTCTGACACATAATACATCACAATTGAACCTGGCAGCTCCAGGAGTTTTCTGATAACATTTTCAGTCCAGATGACAATTATACGCCTAATGGTGTCAAAAGTAAAAACTTACATATTCTAATTGTGACACCCTATTTTATTTAAAAAAAAAACATGGAAAAATTCATTCACAAGAAATCTCTTTTGTTCAATGTATACATCTGAAGGTATTGTATATACTCCTCGAACTGAGCGATCAATATTGATAATATCTTGAATAATATATTTTCTTGGTGAAATTTCTTGTCAAAGAACAGAAAGTATGTCAAAATATGGCTGTACAGTTTCTAGCTAATTTTTTTTCATAATCTTCTTCAGACTTATTGTAGGATTGTTTGCCCATTTAGGGGATGGGGGGCATAGGGGTTGATGATGAAGCATGAACTATAGGTGTTGCAGTCACATTTATCAATGTTTGTTGTTGACCGCCTCTATCCCCACTTTCATTATATGCGTCCGAATCATGCCGGGAGGAAACTTGATCTTCGTCTGAAAACTCCAATTCTGCATCCGAATCACCATCTTGTAGGTACGCATCATCATCATCTGATTCATACAATATTCGTTCCAAATGCCGATCAGATAACGGTTATCGATTCACTCTTTTTGTAGCAGTTCTTATCATTTTGGCATTAGATGGCCCCGCCTCTTCATTCGCCATTACTATTGTTTAGGTGTCCCTCAGGGCAGCATTACTGGCCCAATACATTTCATAGTATATTTCAATGATGTGTGTGATGTCCTGACACCATACCCTGATTGTAAAATGGTGTAATATGCTGATAATACAAATATTCTGATTGACGGAAGAACGACTTCAACCTATATTTGGAAAACTCTAACTTGATGTTCAAGCTAATAAATAAGTGGTTTGAAAAAACACAAAACAATTTGTGAATGCAGAAAAAACAAATGTTATATTTACAACTAGATATACAAACCAGGAAGTATTAACATGTTGTTTAATAATAATATAACATTGGAAATAGCACCTAGTAGTTACCTTATCTGGGTTGTCCACATTCATAAATTAGCTAGCAAATTATTCAAAGTTTGCTTTGCGAAAAGAATACTATCTTAGCATCTAAATTTTTGTATTCTTGAAGATGTGTATCATGAATCTATTTTCAGATATGCTACACCATTCTATGGCGGTAGTAGTTCAATAGAACACTTATTCATTATTCTGAAAAGAGTTGTACGAATTATGTATGAATTAAATTTTAGAGAATCAAGTTTTGTTCTGCTAAAAAATATTAACAATTGTGCTGTGTATATTCAGGAATCTCTCTTGTTTTTTACTAAGAAGATGCAATTTTTTTCCGAGTATGTACTAAAAATTGTCTATAATACTAGGAACATAGATTATAATTACAATGCACATAGATTGGCGGTAAAAGAAAAAAATGCTTTATATAATTCTATCAAATTTCTCATCAAGTTACCAGACAGAATTGAGTATCTTTTCTCTACAAACGTTTGAAAAAAAGAAATATGAAAACTTCTAATAAACTGGAGCCCTACTCCATAGGTAAGTAGGGTAATCAACCTTGAGATAAATTTAGAATAAATTGTTTAGTCATTATTTTTATCTGTTTTAATGTTTCTATTTGTACTATACTTTTTTGTGATGGTTATAGTAACCTACAATGTTTGGCGCCCATTTGTTACTACAACCTTTCACAGGTCTAGTGTTTGTACTATTTTCGCAAATAAAGATTATCATCATAACTATTCAGGGAGCAACAAGAAGTATATGAATTTCAAATAGAATAACTTATATATTTCCTCACCATTTAAAAGACCTATTGTGCTGCTAGCATTCAAATTCACTCACCTTCGTCACTGTCAACGGTTTCCTTAATAAAAGGAGGGTTTAATTTTTTTCCACGGGTTTTGATATCGTGACGATATGCTTCTTCGTTTTCCGCATAAGTAACTGGATCTTCGCGACTTCATCTGTCGATGAGAGATTCCGTCAATGTGATCGATTGTATATAGTTATTCAAAAGTTTGTGGTGTATGTCGAATGGGTCTTCTGAATCCAAATGTCCCGTAATGATGTCTATGCGCTACTTTTTTGGGACTGAATGGATCGAATAATTGTAACCGAAAATTGCATAAGGCATCACATCTATGGTAGTCATCTGTGAACGTTATAATTTTAATACTCTAAGATGCTCAAGAAGTAGAGTGAAAACGTTCTACAGGGACGTTACTATTAGAATTTTCCGAGGTCGTTAAATAGAGATCAATTTTATGAAGTTTCGTGAAATTTGAGAGGGTGGAATAATTGAATTCTGTTCCGCTGTCGGCGACAATCTGAAGGGGCATTCCGTGAAATGACATAAAAGTAACGAGCGCATTTACTATAGATATGGTATCTGCGGAAGGTAGGGGGAAGACTTGTCCATATTTGGAAAAACCATCTAGAATGGTGAGAATTTCTTGGTTGTTAGCTACATCTACATGAACCACTTCGAACGGTTTTTTTGGAGTAGGATTGAGCTGTAGGTGGATTCTTGGAGGATTTCTGTCGTGTTTCAAAAGTTGACATGTCTCGCAAGTGTTTATATAACGTCTGACGTCATTGGAAATATTAGGCCAATAGTATCACTTTTTGATTTGTTGAATGGTTTCTTGAATTCCGCAATGATTAGTTTTCGATTCATGATTATATTGTCGAATTTTTTTCTGTCTATCTGTATTTGGAACGTCTTCGAGTTTTGAGTTACATTTCAGGAGTTTGAAAGTCGAGTTT